CAATAATACAAATCCTTATTTTCTTATTCTCTCCTTATTAAAAGTGTCACACGCACTAACAAATTGGTATCTAGAGCTTCCAGTTATTGTTCATAATTAAGTTTTCAAGAATTTCACATCAGAGATCGTGTTTCTAGGGCAAGTGAATCAACCGTCGCGAAGATGGCTAGTGATAACGGAATTATGTATTCTCTTATTATGCTTGACGGCAAAAATTGGATCCGATGGAAAAAACAGATGCAATCCTTGTTTGGATTCCATGAAGCCCTAGAAGTGGTTACCGACAGTGTTCCCGTGTTGGTTGCAAATGCAAACAATGAACAGAAAAAAGCCCACAACAAAGTCAAGAAAAAAGATTGCAAAGCTGCTTATTGCATTCAACAACGATCAATGTTGTTAATTTTGACAGAATCTCTCATGTTGAAATGACGAAGGAAGCATGGGATATTTTGGTGAAGTATTACGAAGGATATGAGAAAGTCAAGGTTGTCAAGTTACAAACCTTGCATCGACAATATGAGTTGTTGTCAATGGGAGAAGATGAAAAAGTTGCAAAATATGTCTTGAAGGTTCTGAAACTCGTCCATCTCGTGAAGCATTATGGTGAAACCGTAACTAACAAGATGATAGTTGAGAATATAATGATAATATTGACCTCTCATTTTGATTGCATTATCGTTGTTATTCAAGAATACAACAATCTTGAAACCGCAAAAGTGGAAGATTTGGTTGGTTCATTAGAGGCACATGAGATGAGGTTCGAAAGGAAATGAGTTCAGGACTCGATACAGGTGCTGCAAACTCAGTTATGGAAAAAGAATGGTGATTCTAACAAATTCAAAGGCAAAGTAGATAAGACTCATGGAAAGAAGTCTTGGTTGAATCCTCACAAGCATCATGTCAAAGATAGAGCTTCTAAATCCTCAAAAAGAGGAGGAGGAAACTATCAAAAAGACAAAAAAGATAAAAAAGGTATGCAATACTATAACTGTTAAAAGTGGGGTCACGTAGCCAAGAATTATTGGTACATAAAAGACAAGGGATCGACATGTAAGGACGAAGCAGCTAATCTTGCACGCCAAGATTCAGATGATTCTGAAGGTGGTATGGTGGTTATGGCTACAGTTGCAGATAACCATGTCGAATCCAAGATCTGTTTCCTCGACTTAGGCTGCTCGAATCACATGACTGGTCGAAATGAGTGGTTGGCAGATTTTGACGAGTTCAAGAAGATCAACGTAAAACTTGCTTATAATAGTTTGTTGCAAGCAAAAGGTACTGGAAACATAGTATTTCAAATGAGAAATAGAGGGAAAGCTATGATTAAAGATGTTCTCTATGTACCTGGAATAAAGTGCAACCTGCTAAGTGTTGGACAACTGGTCGAAAAAGGTTTCTCAGTTGTTATGAAAGATGGAGTTTTGAAATTGTTCGACACCAAGACCAATTTGGTCTTAAAATCTCCGTTGTCGGAGATTAGGACATTTAAGACTATGATCAGTTCGACAGAAGTTCAATGTTTGAAAACTATTATCGACCACAAGGATAGTTGGTTGTGGCATTTGAGGATTGGACGTTTGAACTTTCAATCACTTAATCAATTGATTACTCAAGATATGGTTACTAGTATTCCAAGTCTTGATTTTCCTGTCAAACATTGTGAAGGTTGTCTAGTAGGAAATTCTTTTGTTTCGACTATGCTAATGAGATCATCATGCATTCTCGAAGTGGTACATTCAGATGTATGTGGACCATTTGAAGAACATAAAATTGGTGGAAACATAAATTTTGTTTCATTTGTCGATGGGTTTATTGAAAGTTGTGGATCTATGTGGTCTAGAGAAAGGACGAAGTATTCGAAATATTTAAGAGATTCAAGATACTTATTGAAAACCATGGTGAGAAGAGGATCAAAGTTCTGCGAATAGATGAAGGTTGCGAACACACTTTGAAGATGTTTGAAAAATTATGTTTAGAACATGGTGTTGATCACGACGGAACTACTCCTTATACTCCTCAACATAATGGAATTGGTGAAAGAAGAAACATAACCATATTGGATATGGCGAGATGCATGCTTAAGTAGAAGAATTTTCCAAAGTCTTTATGGGGTGAAGTTGTTTCTACTACAGTTTATATCCTGAACATGTGTTGTACCAAGATATTGAAGAACAAAGATTGTGAAGAAGTATGGAGTGGAAAATGATCATCAGTGGGTCATTTGAAGGCATTTGGCTCTAGGTGTTACAAGCATGTTCCTCATGCAAGAAGAAGGAAGCTTGACAATTTTTGATTTGATTATGTGAAGATTTGATTCGTTTTATTTTTTGGATTTTGTTGTACTGGGATTTAGTGACTTAATGAAGAAAAAGCACAAAAATGCGCCGCCCTGGAAGAAGGGTTAAAAACCCTAGTATGACTTAGCCAAATGTTCTTAGATAATAAAATAAAAAATAGAAATGATAATAATTGGTAATAATAAGATAATTATTTAATAATTTTAACTAATAATATTGATAATAATAATACAAATTGTTATGTCAATATTAATAACCAAATAATAATTAAATATTGACTTAGGTCAACCTTACAAGGACTAATGGGGCTTCCAAAGACAAAGGGAAGGTGTTAGGCACCCTTCATCTACCTTGTTCACATAGATACTCAGGTTTAGGTTTAAGGTTCAGGAATAGGGTTTTAATTTTTTAATTAGGGAAACTCGCCTCAGTTTTTAAGCCGCGTGCCTATGTATCCTCTTATGAGGAATCATAGCCCTAATACGTAGTTCGAAGTGTTTGGTTAGTTTTTTATGGATTATGGAAATGTTTCGAATTCTCCTTGAACTAAGTTTGAGTTTGTGAATAGCGGAATCATAGACGTAATTCGCAGTCGACAAGAAACATTTATACAATCCTTTTTGAAAATAATATTGAAATTTGAATTAAGTTAGTAAAAAACGGTTAGTAATTGATTGGTTAGCTATTTTTCGAGTGTATGATGCAGTATGAAAAATAAGTTTGAATGAAAAAACATCTAATGCAAAAAATAAGAGTTAGTATTTTAGAAAAAAAAATATTTTAATTAATAAATACCTATTTTTTAATTTATAAAATATATATTAAATATTTTTAATAGATGCAAAGTTATATGTTAATGTGATAAAAAAATGATAACAGATAAATAAACAAATGAAATTATAAAATTAATAAATTAATTTTTATTTAAAATGCAGGGGTGTAAATTCAGTTGGTTAGTAATATCCTAGGGGTGTGAATATCAGGGCCAAAATCCAGATATTATATTTGGCCCAATTGCGTAGGGGGTGCGAATTATAACCAGATAGTAAATCTAGGAGGTCTAAATAGCAGGGACCCAAGTTCAGAAATTGAACTTGGCCCAAATAGGCACGGGGGTGTTGATTTGATCTGGTAAACAAAAGAAAAGTGAACCGGGGGTGCAAATAGGGCAGGCCTTAGGCCCAAAAGCGATCATGAAGGGAGTTCGTTTGGCTGGTGGGGGCGAGGGCATACGTGATTTGATCAGAAGGTAGAGGCGTGAGGGTGTATGGTAACGGTGACGCACGTGATCATGAAGACATTATATCTTTATTTTTTTCCTTTAGCCCTTCATTTAATTTCCACCGTTCTCTCCCTCTCTCTGTTCTTGTTCTTCTCTCCTCTTCACCCACCCAAAAAAATAACAACAAACCTTGACCGCAAATTCGACGGCAGCGACGTTCAACCCTCAACCCCAACCCCAAATCTCAACAAGAAAATCAAACAACATTTAAGCTAAGTGAAATCGAGGATACCTCTATCATGGTGAATCTCTATTTTTTTTTTTAAATTTCGGTATGATCTCCTCTTTCTGATGTCTTCTTCTCCTTCTATTTGCAGATAGCGATGAATGTGGATGGTGGAAGCAGTGGCGTAGTAGATGAAGGCTTGAAGGAGACAACGGTGGCATCACAGATCTAGGGTTTCAGAAATTGAAACCCACATCTCTCTTCTTCTCCTTCTTCTTTCTTCCTCTGTAATGATATTTTTTTTCTCTTTTTCTTTTTAGGGCTTAGATTTTAGGGGTATTTATAGTTTTTTAGTTAGATATATTAGGAAATTTTTGTACAATTTTCGGTTATAGACATTGATTGAATATTAGATTAGGAACTTGATTGATTTTTTAGAAGATTTTGTTGTAATTTAGAAATTGGGTTTGGACTATATTGGGACAATTTATTAATATTTGATTTAATAAGATTTGATTATTGTTGATTTAAATTCAGTTTTGTTATGATTTGATTTTGTTTGTGTAATTGATTTGTAATGTTATTCGATTCATGCATTTCTGGAGTTGGTTCGATCTCTACAGTGCGTGTTACTTGGGCCTCTTGAGTGGCTTATGGATGAAAACAAGGAACAGCGCCGCCGCGACGTATTAGGGTTTCCAAAGACCTAATTTTGACTTTTGGTCAACACATTTTCAATAAAAATTGATAATATTTAATAATAGGTAATAATAAAAAATAATGTTAATAATAATAATTAAATTAATAATAATGATAATAAATTTAATTAATAAAAAAGGTTTTAATAAAAATGATAATTATAATAACCATAAAAACGAATATGGACTCTTATTGAGATGAGCCAATAATTGTTCAGTTATTGGGCCAGCCTATCTCCAAAAACACACCCCTATATTAAAAAATGGACCTCTGATTTAGAATGGATCATCTGAGTAATAGGTTAAAAAAATGCACACCCCCATTTTTATCATTTTAACCAGACCTCCAAAAACTCTAATGAGCCCATACACCCCTAAATAGCAAAAAATACACTCCTGTTGTATTTAAAACGGGCTTCTATAATATAATTATGGGCCATCATATTTTGATGGTCCATACAACCCACTTATCAATATTTAAACCCCAATTTATAAACAAAACCAAAACTTAATGGGACACAGATTTTTATGGTCCATAGTACACCCTTCTTATGCTTTTAAACCTCTGTCGGAACAAGACTTAAAAACAAGCAAATTTACAGAATATGACTTATAATTTAGAACATAATAATAATATAATCATTGATTTGATGGGACAAATTTGGGATAATGACACATATTACATAAAAAATAACAAACATAAAAAACACATTTTACATGTTCAAAATAACATAAAAAATAACCACACAACGAAATATTTCGCTTTAATTTATTCTTCAAATAAAGATTCTTAGTTCTCTAAATTCTTTAGTTAGAGAGAGAGAAAAAAGAATTGTTTACTTAATTCTCATATACTCATTTATGTTTGACTAATCTGCCCCATGCATCGATTGCGCACACTCCATATTTTTTACCAGTATACCTTTTGACAAACATATAACCATCTTTTCCCCAAATCGTGCCCCATGAATTCTTCAAGATCCAATATTCATCACTGTCTACGGAATCATAACCCACTATTACCATACCGTGAGTTACATTCAATAAGTCCAAAGGACACTCTTGACCTCTATATACTCCCTGCCAAAGAAGAATAAGTATGTTCTTCATAAACAAATGCAAAAATACTATAAAAATATATATTTTAATTTGTTTTTTTTCTTCAATATAACATGTATAAAATTATATTCGATTCATTCAACCATTTAGCTATTCAATTTTTCTGTCACGTTAAAACAAGATATAAATAACATAACTACTCTATCTCTCATTTTAAATTAGTTAGTTTTTAAGAGAATAGGGGACTGCAATTAGCTAATTTTCTTTTTTCATTTAGATAAAATTTAAGGAAATTAAAACGGAATTCGACATTAAATTTTTATAGACAGGTGTTTTTGGTTTAAAGTCCTAAGTGACGTTGAATTGAAATTAAACTGTTCATATATAACCCTCTAATAAATTTGGTTTTGTTTATATAACATGTATGACTATTGTATTAATTATATGATTTATCATTATTTTTTTATCATATAAATTGGTGGATTTTATTAAATGAATGAAATATATTAATTTGGATTGAATAGTTAATGAATGAAATAAAATAATATATTATTTTATTAAAAACAATTAAATATAAAATTCAATTCGTCTATTAAAAATAAAATTCATCCAATATATTTATGAACACATTTTCAATGAATGAATATAAATCGGTCCATCTTTAAAGTAATCTTATGGTTTTAATTAGTTTTTATAATTTTTTTTTTAATTTTACAAAATCAATATATATATTTTTGAATATTTTATTTTACTTTAAATTTTTGTGTAAATCAAATGAACAAAAAGGTTTACATTGGACGAGTGTTAGCAACACTCTTGTTTTAATAATTTTTTTAACATTCACTTTCTTATAGAATGAAACGCACATTCTTCTCTCAATTTGAAATCAGATAATATATATTTTAAGGTGTGATGTGGAGGAATCTCTTGTCGAGGAGAGTAAATCATGATGGGAGATGTTATGTGTTCTAAAAAATTTAATTATGTTTGGTTTTTAGTCGAGGGGATGACTCAGTCCACAATGTTAGTAATATTGAGTTACTTGAGTTTAGTAATTTTATTGTTTAGGTGAACTTGCTTGATCTTTCCTTTTTTGGTAGGAGTTTCACTTGGTATTTGTTGAAATACTAAATTAGATTTGTTAAAATATTAGATTAGATTATATTTAATTAGATTTATTATTTAAATATAATCCAAGTTGTATAGATCCAAATCCAATTATTTGTACCATTCAATAATACAAATCCTTATTTCCTTATTCTTTCTCTATTCTCTCCTCATTAAAAGTGTCTCACGCACTAACAAATTGGTATCCAGAACTTTCGATTATTGTTCTTAATCAAGTTTTCAAGAATTTCATATCAGAGATCGTGTTTCTAGGGCAAGTGAATCAACCGATGCGAAGATGGCTAGTGATAAGGGCATTATGAATTCTCTTCTAATGCTTGACGGCAAAAATTGGATCGATGGAAAAAATAGATGCAATCCTTGTTTGGATTCCATAAAGCCCTAGAAGTGGTTACCGATAGTGCTCCCGCGTTGGCTACAAATGCAACCAATGAATAGAAAAAATCCCACAACAAACTCAAGAAGAAAGATTATAAAGCTGCTTATTGCATTCAACAACGGTTGATGTTGCTAATTTTGACAAAATCTACCATGTTGAAACATAAAAGGAGGCATGAGATATTTTGGTGAAGTATTATGAAGGATGTGAGAAAGTCAAGGCTGTCAAGTTGCAAACCTTGCATCGATAATATAAGTTGTTGTCAATGAGAGAAGATGAAAAAGTTGCACAATATGTGTTGAAGGTTCAGAAACTCGTCCATCTCGTGAAGGATTATGATGAAACTATAACTGGTAAGATGATAGTTGAGAAGCTAATGAGAATATTGACCTCTCACTTTGATTGCATTACTGTTGTTTATTCAAGAATACAACAATCTTTAAACCAGAAAAGTGGAATATTTGGTTGGTTCATTGTAAGCACATGAGATGGGGGTCGAAAAGAAATGAATTTAAGACTCGATACAAACACTGCAACCTCAGTCATGGAAAAAGAATGGTGATTCTAACAAATTCAAAGGAAAAGTCGATAAGACTCGTGGAAAGAAGTCTTGGTCGAATCCTCACAAGCATCATGTCAAAGATAGAGCTTCTGAATCCTCGAAAAGAACATGAGTAAACTATCGAAAGGGAAAAGAAGATGAAAAAGGTATGCAATGCTATAACTGTTAAAAGTGGGATCACTTTGTCAAGAATTATTGGTACAAAAAAATAAAAGGGATCGACATGCAAGGACAAAGGAGCGAATCTTGCACGCCAAGATTCAGATGATTCTGAAGGTGGTATGGTGGTTATGGCTGGAATTGTAGATAACCATGTAGAATCCAAGATTTGTTTCCTCGACTCAGGCTGCTCGAATCACATGATTGGTCGAAATGAGTGGTTGGCATATTTTGACGAGTCGGAGAAGAGCAAGCTAAAACTTGTTGATAATAGTTTGTTGCAAGCAAAAGGTATTGGCAACATAGTCTTTCAAATGAGTAATAGAGGGAAAGATATGATTAAAGATGTTCTCTTTGTACCTGGAATAAAGTGCAACATGCTAAGTGTTGGACAACTGGTCGAAAAAGGTTTCTCAGTTGTTATGAAAGATAGAGTTTTGAAATTGTTCGACACCAAGAACAATTTGGTCTTAAAATCTCCATTGTTGAAGATTGGGACATTTAAGACTATGATCAGTTTGACAGAAGTTCAATGTTTGAAAACTATTATCGACCACAAGGATAGTTGGTTGTGGCATTTGAGGTTTAGACATTTGAACTTTCGATCACTTAATCAACTGATTACTCAAGATATGGTTTCTGGTATTCCAAGTCTTGATTTGCCTGACAAACTTTATGAAGGTTATCTAGTAGGAAATTATTTTGTTTTGACTATGCTAATGAGACCATCATGCATTCTCGAAGTGGTACATTCAGATGTATGTGGATCATTTGAAGAACATACAATTAGTGCAAACATACATATTTTTTGTTTGTCGATGAGTTTAGTCGAAAGTTGTGGATTTATGTGATCCAGATAAAGGACGAAGTATTCGACATCTTTAAGAGATTCAAGATACTTGTCGAAAACCATAGTGAGAAGAGGATCAAAGTTCTGCGAACAGATGGAGGTGGCGAACACACTTCGAAGATGTTTGAAAAATTATGTGTAGAACATGGTGTTGATCACGAGGTAACTGATCCTTATACTCCTAATATAATGGAATTGGTGAAAGAAGAAACATAACTATATTTGATATGGCGAGATGCATGCTTAAGTAGAAGGATTTACATAAGTCTTTATAGGGTGAAGTTGTTTCTACTACAGTTTATATCCTGCACAGTTTCCCTACCAAGATATTGAAGAACAAAGTTCCTTAAGAAGTATGAAGTGGAAAAGGATCATCAGTGAGTCATTTGAAGGTGTTTGGCTCTATGTGTTACAAGAATGTTCCTAATGCAAATGAAGGAAGCTTGATGACATGAGTAAACCTATGATTCTGGTAGGATATCATAAGACTGGTGCATACAGGTTATTCAATCCAATTAATGATAATATTGTGTTGAGTCATGATATCGTGATTGATGAAAATTTTGCATGGGTTTTGAATTCTAGTAATTCAATTAACAAGCCATTGTTGAGCTTTGATTTCGACGAAGAAACTGATGAAGTCGAAGTTGATGGAATTGTTGAGAATCCAATTGAACTCGAAGTAGAAGTAGTTATTGACATTCCTGACAGAGTCAAAGTCGAAGAGGATGTGGCTAGCACAAGCTGCAGACCTCAACGAAATAGAGTTCCTCCAATAAGATTTCATGATTATGAAGTGGTGGGTGATGATGAAGTCACACCAGATGGAGAATTAGTTCATTTTTCTTTACTTGCAGGTGCTTAACCAATCAACCATATCGAAGCTTTGAAGATTAAACACTGGAAGTTAGCTATGGTCAAAGAGTTATAGGAAATTGAAAGAAACAACACATGAGAGTTAGTTGAATTGTCAGCACAAACAAAAGCTATCGAAGTAAAGTGGGTGTTCAAGTTGAAACACAATGTTGATGGGTCGATAGCAAGACATAAAGCAAGATTAGTACCTTGAGGTTTTCTTAAAAGATCAGGAATCGACTACTCTGATGTATTTGCTCCATTAGTAAGATTTGATACTGTTCGACTAGTGGTAGCATTGGTGTGCAACCAAGGCTGGTTGACATTTCATTTAGATGTGAAATCAGCATTTGGAATGGTCCTTTAGATGAAGAGGTATATGTCACACAACCTCCATAGTTTGTGATTCAGAAGGAAGTAAGTAAAGTATATAAGTGTCATAAAGCTCTCTATGGTCTCTAGCACAAGAAGATCGACTCATACTTAGTCGAATAAGGATTTGTCAAATACAAATCAAAGTATGGTGTATATGTTTAGGTTGTAGCACAAGATATAACAATCATCTGCTTGTATGTCGATAACTTGTTGGTAACTGAAAATTGCTTAGAGAACTTGTCGAAGTTCAAAGAGTTGATGATGAAGGAATTTGAAATGTCAGATATGGGAAAATTGTATTATTTCTTAGACATGGAATTTCAAATATCGAAGCAAGGTATAGTTCTACATCAAAGGAAGCATGTCAATGAAATACTCAAGAGATTCATAATGAATGTTTCGAATCCTGCATTCTCACATGTCGAACCAAATATGAAGTTGGAGAAGAATGGAGAGGAAGAAAAATTCGATGTAACTTTGTTCAAGTAAATTGTGGGATCTCTGAGGTATGTGTGCAACAGTCGACCTGATATAGGTTTCACAGTCAGATTAGTGAGCAGATACATGAGTGAACCAAGCATGTCACACATGAAGGTTGCAAGAAGAATCATGAGATACTTAAAAAGTTCAATAAATTGTGGAATACTATTTCGACGAGACTTTGAAAGCAAAGAAGCAATAATTAATTGTTTTTTCAGATGCTGATTGGTGTGGAGATAAGGAAGATCGAAGAAGCACAACTGAATATTTCTTTCAAGTACTATTTGGTGCTTCAATCTCATAGTGTTCGAAGAAGCAACATGTGGTGGCATTACCATCGTGTGAAGCTGAATATATAGCAGGATATTATGCTGCATGTCGAGTAATTTAGATAAGATATGTACTTGAAGAAATGAAGGTCGAAGTGAAGAAACCTCTTGTGTTGCAAATCGACAATAAGTCAGCCATAAATCTGGCGAAGAATCCAGTTTTGCATGGAAGAAGTAAACATATTGAAGCTATGTTTCAATTCTTGAGGGAAAAGGTAAATAAAGGCGAACTTGAAGTAAGACATTGCTCGAGTGAAGCACAGTTGGCCGACATTGTCACCAAAGGATTGAAGATCGACAGATTCCTGAATTTGAGAAAGAAATTAGGAATAGTTCAGATTGACTATTTTTAGAGTATGTTCGACAACTTGGATTATGAGAGTGTGTTGAAATATCAAATTAGATTTGTTAAAATATTAGATTAGATTTAATATTTAAATATAATCCAAGTTGTGTAGATTCAAACTCAATTATAGTTGTATATAAATAGTCTTAGTCTGTATCATTATTTGTACGATTCAATAATATAAATCTTTATTTTCTTATTCTCTCTCTATTCTCTCCTCCGTAAAAATGTCTCACACACTAACAATATTATTTCTTTGATAGGACTATCAGTCGTCTTGATAGGATATTTATATCAGGTGGTTGGTGAGAGTTTTAGGATACAACTACTCAATGACTCTATCTAAATATGTGTCATCCTATTATTTTCAAATATTCAAATTAGTTGTGGGGGCCCTAAGCCTTTCTCTTCCCCGCCTTCACGAGCTGTGGTGCTCACTAGTTGACCTAATTTCCAATTCTATGGTTGAAAATATTTTATCCTAAAATAGAACCATAAAGCCTTTAAAGGTGTTTTGAAATATTGGAGTGATCAATTTTTTGTGATCTTGATTTCATCATTATTGACTAAATTTTTTTTTTATAATAGATGAATTAAATGACTTATTTAATAGATGGATCGCATGAATTTTTTATAAATAATTTTTTTCTTACTGTATTTAATAGTCACCCGTACTCTTTCGTCTTCCTTATCTAAAATCATTATCGAAAGATTTTGTCCGATAAAGAAAATTATCAAAACAAAAATGAGAAGCAAAATAGAAGTTAAATTTTAGGAGATAGTTTGACAATTAATATTTAAAGAGAGATTGCTACAAGAATTTATTCTCACTCTATCATTGATAATTTCAAACTCTTTAATAGTTTGATGATCAACTTTGTGTTTATTATATCTTACATATTTTATATGCATTGTGATTTAAATATTTGATCCTATCATTTATAATTTATTTTGTCAGTTGAGTTTTTTTAGTCAAATATAACTATATATAATAAAAAGAGATGAATAAATTATATAAATGAATAAAAACTATACATTATATAACTACTTACACCCTTGTAATGTTGGAATTCTTTTGTCCTTCCATAAAAACCAACATGAAGAGGCTGCTTAGCAACTGCACACTGTAATTCCTTCTCCGATCTCTTCACGAGTTTATACGATTTAATGCGACTGGTTGGACTATTTGGAATCTACAAGTAGGTGGTTTAAATTAATACAATGCTTAAACTTTAACAAGTTATTAATAATTTTTTAAAGCATGATGGAAATTAAGAACCTGGCCGGATGTGCAAACACTCTTCTCCTCAAAATAAGGATAATCCTCTTGTAATGCAATCCCTTTGTTTCCTATTACCCAATCTAATGCTTTTGCGACACTTCCTCGAGAACAATTTCCATATGGTTCACAATCTAGAACCTCCTGATTTGAAAGGCTGAGAAGCTTCCCTGTCTTTATTGCAACTATTCCTTCAATAGCTGCAACTGTTGAGAATGCCCAACAACAACCTAACAAAATACAAAATTTATTTGATTGCAAAAAGAAAGTGATAAGAGAAAAGGATGTGAGAAAGAGTTAAAATAATATTTATATAAAATTAACTATATTTTTTATTTGTGTGAAAATATTCATATAATTTACAACAAACTTACCACAACGGCCTTGATCCTTAACAGGAGTGACAGCTCCTTTCTTCCTCCAATCCAAATTTTTAGGTGATTTACAAGATGTTAATTCATCAACATCATCATTCACAATATCTATGGTGTCAGTGTTCATAGTCATGTATGTATCTTTGAATTCCGTGAAACTCAAATCAGCAAAGTTGGTCAAACCAAGAAGAGAGCTATGAGGTGAGTCTCTCTTTGCATTGGTCTCTACAATATACTTTACATTTGAAACAAAAACGTCAAATTTCTTTGCCATCTCTTGTTGATTTCCGTAGACTCGTCCATGTTCTTTTTTCCATAGTTGAAATAATAATATAGCATCATCTTGGTTAGGAAGCTTATCAAGTTTAGGACCCAATATTGAGGCGTACATACTGGTTGGGATCTCAAACCTTGAAGTTTTTTTCTTTTCATTAGCTAAGTATATACATAGGCATGCAGTGAAGATGATGAAGAGGAGAAATCGGTTTGAGCTAAGGGAAATCCTCATTAAGTTTGAATGGGAAGATATGTATCTTTAAAAGTCAATTCCACTTATTTATAGAATACAAGTTGAGAGCTCAAGTTCTAATTGCTTTTAAAAATAAAATTGCAAGGCAAATTATTGAATAAATTTTAAAATGTGCTTTATTATTACAAAATTTTGTTTCATACTATTATTATAAAATGAGTTTAATAGATGCATTTTAAAAAAAAAATTTAGAATGTTGTCTAATAGCAATATATCACTCTATCATATTATAATATGATAAGTAATTTAAAAAATTTTGATCTGAAATAACAGAATTCATGATCAGAGAGTCGATTCTATCAATTCAGATGTTATATATATATATATATATATATATATATATATATATATATATATATATATATATATATATATATATATATATATATATATATATATATATATAACTTTGATAATTAAAAATAATACACAAAATATATTTGTATATTAATCAATTGAAACACTAAAAAAATTTAAAGTGTTATTTAAATTATAAGTCATTTTATACAAATTGTATTTTAAATATTTATATTTTTTTAAAATAAATTTTTATCTAATTATAAAAAATAATGAACCCCTTAAAATTTAGGACCTGTCCCTGCATTTATGCAGGAACGGGCCTATTCATGATGGTTATTTACAAATAGTGTAACATTAATTTAGACCGTCCATATATTATCAATTTTCTCTTGTAAAATGTGCTGTATTTTTTTTATTATTTAGTTCTGCAGATTTATTAATAAATAATTTTATTATGACATAATATTAACTAATTTTTTTATTTTTTGTGAATTAGTCAAACAAAAATAGACGTATGATGTGGGCCCCTCCTGCATAGTCTTATTTTATTCTTTGATGAAATGCACAGTCTTTCTTTTTTCATAGAACGCATAGTCTTGTTTTATTATGTTCATTGAATCTTAATCTATTCAAATTATTTATCTGGTTAATAAAAAAGTCTCGTTTAATTTTCACGATAAACTTTCACTAAATAAATTGTAATTAGCCCTGTAAAATTTATGACACAAACATACAAAATATGTCACAAAAGGAAATTACTACTGTGGATAAAATACGCGTAAGAGCGCTTGTGGCAATTAATTATTACACGAAAAATATGTCATAGATTTGTGATATGATATTAACAACACAAATAAATTAATAGACTACAAATTGAGATAGAGGGGTGCAAATTGATTACCACATGAAATTCATGCCACAAATTTGTGTAGACTAGTTATCACGTGAAATTTACACCACAAATTTGCGCAGACCGATTACCACGTGAAATTCACGCGATAAATTTATAGTGTGATATTCACGACGCAAACTTTTAAATGGTGTAGAGTGGTTCAGAGGAGTGCAAAATTGTGTAAAAATTTAAAATTAATGATGTGAAAAACACAACACAAAAGTGAATGTGTCAAAATATTACCACATGATTTCCATTTTACAAAATATATTTTAATAAAAAATAAAATAAATAATAATTAATAAAATATAAGATTTAATAATTAATAAAAATATTTTCAAATAATAATTAGATTCACAACAAATATAAATAATAAAAAAAATTAAAATTTTGTTTATTAAAAAAAAGTTATTAACCACGAGAAATTTACGCCAAAACATAGATAACAATAAAAATCAATTGTCGAAATCAAACTCGTCTTCTCCATTTTCCTCCTTATTTACCATATCTTGGCTACCAACACCTTTATTTCCACCAAACTATTGATTTCACCCATAAGTTGTCTTATTTACTCATGCAAATCAAATTGTCTCTGCTTCATAGCCTTTATTTTAACCTTTAGCGCCGCCTCACATTCCACCGTCTTACGTCTCGCCTCAGATAGAGCTAATTGTCTCACTGTTTCCCTCATTTATAATGTCAATTCTGGTGAATATGGTGATCCTTTCTCATCTACAATTCTTTGAAATAGAGTTAAATCCCCTTTTCTATAGTTGTCGGTCAAATGTCTAACACCGAAAAAACATCCATTATCTCCCTTTCGGCCAGTTATAAAACTCCAAATATAAACATCCACATCTGAACCAACCATATTTGAATCTGTCGGAGTATACTGACAATTTTCAATTCAAAATTGTGTGAGTAATTCCTCGTACTTTTCCTACACATACACAAAAAATTAAATTAAATATAGTTTAAACAAATTAGTTATATACAATAATTAAATAAAATAATAAAATATAAATAACTTACATAAGCATTTACGGAATGATCGTCAACAAACTCCTTGATTTTTTGGTTCAAGTCTTCACAAACAACTCATTAATTAGTGGTGGTCTCCCATTTTCTTTAGTATAATTAAAATAATTAACTTTAATTAAAAATATATAATAAATCAAAATATAACATAAAAAATAGTTATAATTACCATTCATCGGGCATGTTCGTCGATACTAATTATATTTCTTACTGAATTAAGGAGACCCCCTTCAGATGCTCTTAATTTCTTTGCATTTCATTTTTTTCCCTTAAATTCTTCTAAATCGCAATAGATAAGAAGTTCTTCAAATACGTTCTTGCCAATCCAATTAGGACAAACTTGTTGTTCTTCCCAACCAAGTCTAGAACGCCTAAGCATGTTAGATAGTCGGACTGATGTTCTACCTCAAAGTTTTTTTTAATCCTAACATCGTCATTTTTCTTCCACGTACACATTTCCTGCAATGTTGTATGATATTCAAATAAATTGTTAGATAATTATAACAAAATAATAATTAAAATAACATAAAAGAATCATTATACCTCAAATTCATCAAACCATTCATCTTTCTCCTCCTTGTTAAGCTCTCCAAAACTCTTAATAAGTTTTTTACACATTAGTTGAATGACTTGATTTATACGTTTGGTAGCAGCTCAACTCGGCACGAAACTAAACAACAACAATTTGAATAAGTATTAAATCTAAAAAAGATAATATGTATACTTAAATAAAAATAATAAAATAGAAACTTACTTAAGTCCACCAGGCTCAATATATAGTCTTATATCAAATGCACATACATTTGTGAGCTCTTCATGATCATCCAAAATAGGGTCACCATGCTCTTTATGCACATGTATATATGGGGGATATGAGGCACGTAATCCCCTAAGATGCATGGATGACGCGGGTAAGAGTGTGAGATGATGGGTGTGTGATCCCCTAAGATGCATATATGACGTGAGTAAGTGTGTAGGATATGGGGCGTGTGATCCCCCAGGATGCATGGATGACACAAGTAAGTGTGTGGGATGTGGGTATAATCTCCCAGGCAGTTGCGTTAAAGAAGAGGGTCCCTATGTGGGATGTGGATATGATCCCCCAGGCTGCTGCATGAAGGAAAGGGTTTGTGTGTGAGATGTGGAAAAGTAGATCCTCCATGCTGCTGCATGAAGGAAGAGGGTCCCTGTGTGGGATGTGGATATGATCCCCCAGGCTTCTACATGAAGGAAGAAGATCTCTGTGTAGGATGTAGAAAACTAGATCCCCTATGATGCTGCTAGTATGATGATGGCATATGCCTAAATGGGCTGATAAAAGTTGGAGTCTTAGATGGGACCATAAGATAATCCTGGGAGGAGAGTAAAGACATTAAAGGATGAGAAGTGTCTATAAATATGGGATCTTCCTGACTTTATGGGGGAAGAGCATACATGGACGACGATGGTACGTCGTGTACCCTTATCCTCGAATGTTGTTGGATCTTACCCTTACCCTTATCAGGTCAGAGTGACATTTTGTCTATTTTAAGAGAACATACACTTAATACATCAACATAACACATTTGAATAAATAAACACATTATTTTCTACCAACAACATAGATGAATCAACACATTATATATACAATATATTAAGTAAAATTACAAACAGAAAAAAATCTAATCAAACTCTGCATGCTCTTCATCCATATTATTTTCGTTATCTTATATGATATTATTATCGAATCCAAATGCTTCATGCTCTTCATTCACATTATTTTCTTCAAACAATATAGATGCATCAACTTGATGACCCTCAGCCATTGCATCACACAAAATTTTTTTCCAACTTCAACACATAATTAATTTGATAAATTTCATCTTCTAGGTAAACAACATGTGACATTATGAAAGGTTCATACTATTTGTACCTTCTGTCCATTCAAATCTCAACAATGTTATATTTCTTATGTATTTTTGCACTTTGGCAGATGGATTATACCAATCACAAAAATCAACACAACTATATTTTTCGAGTCCAATTAATTGTATGTCAACTCGTAAATATTTGTAACAACGCCATATAAGACGTCTTCACCACCATATGTAGCTCCTTTTATGAATACACCATTGTTAAGGTTTTTTTCCCTTTTGTCCTTTGCTCACTATGAAATTTATATCCACTCTCATTTTTTGAGTTGGTGAATGTTCCATGTAATATTGTTAATGTCATGGTGTTTATTTTTGACTTATAGAGAAAGTGAATGAATAAAACCATCTTAACAAAGTTCATACTTTGGCTATGGTACCTATGGTTTGCGTTGCTATAAAAATAATACAACAAGTATGAAGCTATTATGTAAACTTCATCCACCTAGTATTTCTTTTTCATA